GCCCGAGAACTGTCGACAGTCTAGGGATAACACTGAGCTAGTGCATAAATGTATCAGATTATACATGTATTAGATTTGAAAAAAAATTGGTCCTGGGGTGTCTGAGATACAGCATGCATTGAGACTAAATGACAAGTTTCCATTTCAGACTTCGTCCAAAAAGACATCGTATAAAAGTTGACGAATACAAATAATCACAGAATATGTTTATGATTTGATTGTAAATGCCACAGATATAATTTTGTAAGGGCATACATAAACTTCTCATTTGAGAGTGGTGGTGGTGTGCGTTGGGGAGTGATTTCAATTGCTGTGTGCAATTGTATGGCAATTGGTTATATTTATTTTTTCACTTGCAAGATTTTGTTCACACTGCAAATGTTTGAATTATCCAAGGCCCTTAATACATTGTTACTAATGACTTGTAGCACAAAGACATTTGCAGCAGTATATCTTCATTGCTAATTGCAAGAATAATAATGATGTATTTTTCAAAAATTGAGGATTCTATCACGAATTAAAAACGAATAGCAGTATTTACCGACATCTTTGAGGTTAAAAAAAGAACATGTGAATGTTGTGTTTAAAATTAACTTTTGGATTTATTCACAACTAGTCTGAAAGTAAATACAGACAACAAATAATCAAAGGACATGACTCAGTTTGTTATGTTAATTGTTTCAGATGAACCATAATAAAAGTTTCAAGTTACAAATAATAGCACACAGTAAAACGTCTTGGGCTGACTAGTGCAGATATTGGAGCGAGGAACTGAAAAAAAGAATAGAAACAGCTTTAGTTTCAACAAAGGTAGTCAAACATCTATCACACACCCTAAACACACTAATTCATGTCACTTTATGTGGTGAAATCTTTGCTGTTCACCCATCAACGCTAGAATGTACACAGCAGGTTTTCAGACATGTGTCTTATAGATGACCCAGAAAAGGTCACACATCCTGGTAGTTGCTGGAGGGCGCAAATTCACTGTAAATGAGAATTTGATTATATTACAAAAATATGCAAGCATGACACTCTACAATAGTTGAGCATGGCAAACAATTTGATAAACTGTATAACACATTGAAATAGCTACATGCCATTTTAGCAATTTTAACTCAATCAGTGTTCTCCCCAGGAATTTAAACCACTGTGGCGGCCTAATTTGCATATCATTTACATAATAATAGAAATTGACCAAAGCACATTTACACCCACACAATAAACAACATATATTTTCAAAAACAAAGTGGCAGATATTTATTTGCTTTACACAGTGTTATAAACACTTTTATTTTGGGCACTTTTGTAATATTAATGAGCTCCCTCACAGTGCAAATTTTTTTTTTTTTTGAGTCAAAAAATTACGTTTGAATTTAAAAATGAAACATTCTCGATATGCAAATGCTGCAGACTAAAAAGAAACAAATAAATTGTAAAAGATTAAATGAAACTCAACTGAAACGTTTCAGCCAGGATTATGTTCAAGACTTTCATGACCACATAATTATTTGGCGGATTGCTGGTTATTATTCCGACCATCAGCTTCTACAACGTTTACATTTACAGTAAATAAACGAAGAAATAACACTTCCAAACAATCATCAAAGTTACGACGTGACATAACTTACTTCGCGATGTTATACACCGGTTATACCAATAATTTCTCTTACTCAGTCATGATGCCATTAAATTAAATACTTTAAAAAATTAAATACTTCTTTTTTTATATGAAAAAAACGTAAAATTTGAACTAGTTTTATCGAGAGAAATTATTTTTGATCACTCGATCACTTTGTGAAAAACACTGTGATAGCTGAGACGCGTTAGTTGACCGCCCGCATGTGTCCATGAATTTTAGCTATCAATCTATTGTCAGAAAATATTTACTTACAAAGAGGTGCTAATTTTACAAAATTGACTTGTATTGTTTAAAGCTGATACCACATCGCACGACTATGTCTATTGTTTACAAATTATTATCCACGACTGGCAGGATGCTTGTCGATCGGTACGTAAGTATAATAACAATAGTTGGACGCGTTTCTGTGGTGGTAGCTAATTTTGAGTGCCGGTCGGGCCGACCAGCGTGACGAGATCCCCAATGAAAAAAGCACTGTGGCGGTCTTGCTAATCACCGTGGCGGTGTCAGACCGGTGTGGCGGCAAATCGAAGCACTGTGGCGGGACCGCCACGCTGTTTACATCCTGGGGAGAACACTGTCAATTCATGAAAATTTTGGCACATTAGCAAAATTAATCTTAATTTTGCTAATGTGGCAAAATTTTCATTGTGAGAATATACTATCTGTTAAAAGCGTGAATAAATGTGACATTTGTGTTGATAAACACTGATTTTTCCACAATCCAATGCGTTTTTCTAATGGAAATTCATGAACGCAATATATCTTTCTTTGTTGATTTTCTTTTCCATAACTTTCCAAGATGAATGATTTTTGCATCACCAACTTGAATTTTTTTTACGACTTAGCAGAACCATGGTCATGCACGAATTTGCCTAGAAGGAGAAGCTATGTGTGGCTGTGCCTGAGGTAGTCAGTGCCTGTTTTCAACACGACCCAAAGCCAGTTTTAAAAATTGATCAAATTTCTATGCAACAATACCACAATCAACTGACATGATTTGGAAAATTGAACATGATTTTCTCTGAAATTAATACGACTGGAATCCAGGGTCACATACGGGTACATGTATATTGTGGGGATTAAAATGATAAATAGTTTGAAAGTTATTGTGAAGAACACTACTTACATTCCATCAGTCATCCTTTTTGGGTCTGGTTGCATGGAACACACCCATTGAGTTCATGTGCTCAAACGCTTTCCTGTCATCATAATCTCTGTAAAAATTTGCGTATGTCTGCTTTTTTCTTTCTGCATCTATAAAGGGCAAGAAAAGAACAGTTTAGGCATACTGTAGATGAAATTATTACAACTTACAAGTCTGGACTACATGTATGCTATTTATGTGTAATAATTACAACTTTTATTAGTATTAAGGATGTTCACTACAGTTTCACTTTTGGGATGCGAGCAAGATAGGGCACCCACAGTCTCTGCTAGCAACAACAATGCAAGACATTAGACGTGACGGTAAAAATGTGTTGCCCTCTGAAGATAATGAATAAAAGTAGCGAGAACTCCGATTTCCATCAGTTCCGTTGAGTATATCACTGAGAGCAGTTGCAATGAATTCTATTATGAAATGTGCTGTTCATCTTGGGGGGAAAAAAAAAACGTAAGCGTGTCCGAGGAACAGTATTCATCAACTTTTTCAACCAATGTATCTCAGTGTTCTTCACCGTATCAGCAACAAAGTCTGCCTGAAGCACCTTCCATTGGTGTCGCTACGGTATCACCCAGAGGCAAAAAAAATAGAGGGAAACATCGAAATACCGGCTGGTATAAACCATGGGCAAGCAAGTACAAGTGCTTGGATTATAAAGAAGGATTTGGTAAGTTGACCATTTTTAAACTACATTTAGGCTACACAGATTTAATTTTATGGATGACATCTGCGCGCGCATTAGTTTTCGCCTGTTCTCAAAAAAAAATAAAAATAAAATCTCCTACGACGAGTCTCCACAGATCGGTTTTCTGTCCGGAACTTGCTGACTCATATTGTCGCAAAGCGCCGACTTGTCGTAAAACTCGTTTTGGACTACCTCAAAACTTCGCTGGTTTCCCGGCGTCCTTTGCGAATGGTAGGTAGGACGCAGGTAACTAGTAATCGCCATATTGTTCCATTTGGGCCGGTTTTCCGGCCGGAAGGCACGTGACTGAGTGACGTAATTTGAAAACATTCCAAGTTCCGTTCTGCGTAAACATGTCTATAATACTACAATAAAGCCATGCTCAAACATACTGCCTGCTTAGATTTACACATTTGAGATGTTTCTGACATTCCTCGCTGTTTCTGTGAAAATTTATAACAAAAGAAACAGTTTTCTTTTCACCCAACTTTCGAAAGTAAAAGGAAAACCCTGAACGGCCACGAGCGTAAACGCTGCCGTCAGGTAACCAAGGGAAATAGAACAAGCAACGAGAAAGTGACGCACCAATCAGAATGCCGGATTCATTACTAGTTACCGGCCTCTTGTGGCTTGGTACGCCATGACACTTGAGGCGGGAACCAGCCAACCTCAAATCCAAACTCTGCACAGTTAGATGCGCGTTACGTAAAGCGCAAAGACCTATGGGAAAGAGATTGCCTCAAAACATGCAAATTTTGCCATAAATGATCCAACATGGCGACCACACCACCAAAATACGTGAGCATAAAAGTTCAGAGGTGAAACGA